AAAAAAAAAAAGGTTGAGAATTTAGAGGGTTAATATGTTGTGGTGTTGTTAACCAATGTCATAAAACAACATGTGTACTACTGTTTCATGAGAAAATTATTTGTTCTGTAAGCCTTCACCTGAAGTACAATAAAATAAAAAAACTTCCACATTATTACAAACAAGTTATATGGTTCAATACTGGTGAAATAAGCGAGATAAACATCAATTTTTAATACTGATAAAGAACAGCTATTTTTGTGGGAAATAGATTTATCTCTCTATATAAAAAACCAAACCAAACCTGTTGCTGTCGAGTCGATTCCAACTCAGACCAACCCTAGAGATATATAAATAGAAGCCCTCGTGGCACAGTGGTTAAAGCACTCAGCTGCTAACACAAAGTCAGCAGTTTAAAACCTACCAGCCACTCCACAGGAGGAAGATGTGGCAGTATGCTTCTGTAAAGATTTATAGCCTTGGAAACCCTATGGGATCACTAAGAGTCAGAATCAACTTGATGGCAGTGGGTTTTTTACCTACATGAATACACACTTTCCATATATGCATATGCACAAATGACACTAGTCCACACTACTCAAAAATATCCAGTTCATTTTTCTTTTTTCCAAAATCCAGATTATTAAAATAATATACAGAGCCCATCTAGACTACCATCATCAATACTGGCTAAAACCATTAGGAGAAAAGTGATGGGGAACTTTTTAATAAAGGGATCAAGCTGTCAATATCTAAACCCACTAACAATAAAAAAAAGGCAACTGGACATTGTCTGCTTTTCGATGTGATACAATTGGAAGTACACAGTCTCACTCAGGAAGTAATCTAGTCCCAAAACAAAATAAAAGACAAAAAAAAAACAGAACCTGAATCTGATCAGACCTAACCTCCAGCTTGTAAGAAATACAGAGAATAGAGGAACATGTTAAGTGACACCACAAGGTGAAATTAACAAAATCCAGATTATGAGAAAGTTCACAGGACAAATGACCAGGTTTTTTCCAACAAATAGCAAGAAGAAAAAACAAAAGAGAATGAAAAGGGAGAACTGTTACGGACTGAGAGATTTCAGAGACATATCACCTAAATGCAGTGTGTGCAACTTGTTTGGATTCTCATTCAAACCAACCAACTGCAAAAAGACACTATGAAGTACATTTGGAGAATCTGACTGGATAGTAGATAATACTTAGGAGTTACTGTTAATTTGGGAGAGGTGTGATAACTGTAGTGTAGTTACTTAAAAATATTTTTTTCTTAGAGATACACATGCAGTGTATTTGCATGAAATGATATGACGTCTTGGGGCAAGGAGCTGTGAACCAGGATTGGCCATAGATTGGTAATAACTGAAGCTGGGTGACGGACACATGAGGACTCTTTAGACTATTCTATTTTTTTATGTGTTGGAATGTTTCCATAATAAAAAGTGTAAAATACATATACTCTAAAATCCCTAAAACTAGCAGTAAAGGAGCCTAATGAAAAAATCTAATTTTCAGTCATAAATAAGATAAAAAATTTACCAGCTCATCCGACAAGACACACTGGAGATAACCTGTACCATCGCGCAACACCAGGAACATTAAATTCTTTCCTAAAAATGAGAAGGAGAAATTTAGCCAGACCATTCTCAAGTCACTTACAAAGTAATTTTTCATGATTTAAAACAATAATTTATTATTTTGTTGTTGTTGAGACTATACACAGCAAAACATTTTGTATGATTTAATCTTATACAACAAAACTCCAAAGCTGAAACTAGGAAGTTCAAACCTTCCACATGGCTGCCTTCCTTCAAAGTGCCCGCCAGTAATATTACTACTGAGTATTTGTAAAGCATTTTTATTTTCTTCATTGTACTTTCAATCCTATGTGACCTTCAGGGGAAAGCAGGACAGTAAGCAACTTGAGTTGCAGGATACTGTCCTCATGACCTGTGAATCCCCTGCCATGCCCAGCCCCTGTGCACCTGGTGCAAGGTGCATATATACTGGGGAACACTATCACTCATTTTCTTACTCATGTACTATTTCTTTTTACATAGGATTTGATAACCACTCAATAAATACACATGCAATAAAATAATAAAAAGAGAAAACAAAATGTCAGGACCAAGGAAGGGAGAAGTGAAATGTAAATACACTAATTATAAAAGTCAACACTACTGCCATGATTAAGTTTTTGATTTGGCTCTAAACTTCCTATATAACATCCTCTGTTTTTCATTAAATAAAGTTGACTTGACAAATATTTACTGGGTACTTCTTGATCACTGTAGTTGCTTGCATTTAAATAATTTTAAAACTTTCAATAGCCATATCAAATAAAAAGAATAAATTTAGGACATAAATTACTATAGCCTTTAAAACGCCAGCATACAAAAAATACTCCTAAGTAAATGTTTTTATGTTCTTCTTCATATAAGACCAGGGATATGTAAAATTAAAGAGAGAAAAGCTATACTGTTTACCTTGCCTACGCAGCCTGTGGACCCAGCCAAACACCTTTACTCTTTGGCCTCTATGTGCTTCTAATGCATGAATCTTCACCTGTCAAGTTAAAATAAATAATATTTGGCCAATTATGTCTTTTAACATATCACATGCCAACTTTTTCACTAATATTGGACAGATGTAGTAAAGTCTTAAAATTCACAAATGTTGTAAAATAGAAAGCAGTCACTGTGGTGCAGTGGAGCGTTTTTTGTGGCCTTTCCCGTCATCGTCTTGTAACTCCCACCCAGGTGATTGGGCGGGACTGTGTAGACAGGGATTACAAAGGGATTGGTCAGTTTTGCCATCCTGCTGGGCTTGAAATGAACCACCTCAGAGGCAGGAAAGAGAGGATATCACCAAGGAAGAACATCCAGGAGGGGAGAGCATGTCCTTTGGACCAGGGATCCCTGCACTGAGAAGCTCCTGGAACCAAGAGACGCAGAGAGAGGAAGAGAGAAGCAGTGGCAGAGAAACAATGGCAGGAGACAGAGTGGTGGGCTACCCGGCCACAGAGCAAGAAAGCTGAGTGTCTTTAGGCAGGAGGCTTACTGGCGGTATAGAGTGCCTCTGGGCACTTACTGGCAGAGCTAAAAGAGCTGTATAGCACTTGTCAACAGGGCAGAGGCCAAAGCGCCAGAGAAAGGTACGCCTGTGGCCATGGCTGAGAAGTGGCTGTCCTGATGGAAGGACTGTATCCTGAGTTCCTAAACCTGAATTGTATCATTACTTCCCTAATAAACCCCATAACCGTGAGTATTGTCTGTGAGTTTGGTGTGGCTATTGCGATGAATCATCAAACCCAGCAGAGAGCGCAGTTGGTGTTGGAATTGGTAAAGATGGCAGAGATAGGCGGCACATCTGACCTCAACCTCATAGAAATCAGCCTTGGGCTGTTGATCTTGATTCTCCTTCCCTCTTATGAAGTTAGACGAGGTCAGACACCTCCTACATGCCATTTTTATAGTCATTCTACTGTAGGTCAGAACCAAAGAATTTCACCATACCAGAGTAGCTAAAAAAAAACCACGTCTCCTTTCTCTTAGTGCAAAACTGGCAATAAGAAACACTCAGAAGAATATCACAAATATGGGTCACAAATTCTCTGGTTGCCAAAGCACAGCTGCTTCATTTCAGATACTGCTATAGAAAAAAAACTTAATAAATAAACGCAATTTGTCACAAGTGAAGCACCTGCTCCCCACAATACCAACCATCCTGGCCCATACAGAACCTTTTCCTTAACTCCACATTCCAGGTCCCTTGGAAGCTAACAAAGCCTAGATTTTTGTTTGGGGGATGGAGGAGAGATAAGTAGAGGAAGGGGAAGGTGAACGTAACCAAGAAAACAGCTCCATCACTAAGGAAGTAGGAAAAAATATGACAACCCATCAAAATAAGAACTATTTTAAAGCAAACCATGTCCATTCATAGTCCGGCATTCTGGTTGGGTTCCAGAAAGAATACAGAAAGAAGAGTGAATTCAATTTCACAAAAAAAATTTTTAAATCTGTTTAAAAACTCATAAAAATCCTGGATTTCAAACACCTCACTTCAGGATGAGGAAACTGAGATACAGACAGGGAGCAATACCACAGAGCACAGCCAGGCCTGGATCCCAGGTCTGCTAGCTGTTTGTTGGGATAGAATTCATTTAACATGCAATTACTAAGCTTTATAATAAAATGAACCCCAAAAGAGCCAGCCTCATAACTCTAAAAAGTCATTTCTTTCTATCCTTTCTAAAAAGAAAGTAAAAATAAACAATGCAAAGGAACAAACCATGTGGCATGCCCCTGAAAAACAGAAATAATGCTTTGATGTGGCCAAGTCCATGACATTCATTTCTCGCACATCTTGAGTGACTTTGCTAAACCCAAATCAGATCATGATGTCACTTCTAGCATTCCAGTTCAAACAGCAAGTAATGCCACATATAACTTACACATTTTGGCTCTGGAAGACTTGGATCATTTTTAATGGTAATCTTCTTTGCTTCTTCCAGGTTTTTTTCTCTTCGCAAATTGTCTTCTGCCTAATTTGAATGATAAAGCAATTTGTTAAAATGGTTTACAGTATTCTAACTTAAAAAATTTCCACAGTAGCAAATTTCTTACTAACCTCTTTCTTTTCCCGGCATTCATTCTTCATTTGTTCCCTGTGCCACATTTTTCTAATGTTCTTCATCTGCGATTTAGAAATAACATCCCACCTCTAGAGAGATAAACAGATATTTTATCTGTGTTCTAATGAAAATATATTCACCCAATAAAATTCTGGAAAATTTTGGTTTACCTTACCTCATTTTCTTTTTGTGAATCTACGTAAATGGTAGGAAACGGTTCTTTTCCTACTGTCATCAAAGCCTTGGGTAGGGAGGGAAAGAAAGGAAATGTCTTTAACATTTTACAATACTTAAAATAAAAACAACTCCTTATTTACAAGGCAACTTCAACAATCTAGAACATACTCAAGAGCCAAAAAAAAAGCATTGAGACCTCAACAGTCAAAAGCTGATGTTGACTGAATGACTGGTTGAATGTACCAAGAATTCTACTTAGAGTAAAACCTCTTAGGTTCTTTCACTAACAATTCCGGCAAGCTTGGTTACACCATTACACAGTTTCCCAGTACCAGGAAACTAGAAACAACAGATTTTAAATGGCTATAGGGACCATCAACAGGCACATGGACGACAAGAGAAGAGAGATGGAACAGCAAGGGGCAAGGGAATAACTGCAGATCACATTTAAAAGGTCAGTCCTGTGTAACAAATCAGGGAATAGTGCAAATGGTTTTCAAAACTTTTTCAACAAAATAATGGTTAAGTACACAAAACACTAAGCTTCATTTAATTTAAAAAATTCCTGTATGTAGAATACCTCTTTTCACCAATACTGGGACACATCAGGTATTGCTGTGTCATCATTTTATATATTTGTTTTCTCATTTTATATTTTATAGTTTGTACTCTTTTTTAAAAAAATAGATAGTTGAAAGTATGTGAAAGATGAATGTTTTATTAACTGCTTCAAAATATTCCTTCAAAATACTTCCTAAGTTATTAAGTCAACCCAAGAAATGCAATGAAGTATTCTCTCCACTAGTAAGATCTGAAGCTTACAAAAATGGATCTCTTCTAAAATGTCTGGTTTCCAGACCTGAAAAATACTTTCCATCTAAATTTAACATTATTCCCAATTCAATGGTTGCTACAGAACAGGAGGGAACCCGAATCTTTTAAAAACATCCAAGAGAGTTCATCTTTTAAACAATTAGACTTCATAGTGATGTCTGTAACTCATAGGGAATTCATTTCCTACCTATCTGTACTGATCCCTCCTTTTATATTACTGAAACGGAAAGAGACAAGTATAATTCCCCAAATCAGAACTGCATACTTTTGCCAACAGCAACATTCTGCAAACGTTCACCTAATCAGTGTTGTCAGTCTGTGGGAGCCTCAAGGAGGCACCCCAACAACCCAGAAGCCAGAGAAATATGATTTCCCTCTTAAAAGTTAAAAAGTAAGACCTATGCATGATACATCAAAGCGTACAGAAATCATCCAAAGAGGTGCGAAGGCTCTCAGGACAGGAGGACTTGATAATAAGCTAAGTAAATATTCTAACATAGCTAATAAAAGGGGGGATCAGCCAGGCAAGGGTGCACAGACAAAGGAGTGTCAGGGGTAGTGCTTTTCTGAGCACGGTCTAAGGAAGAAGCTTTTACCATCTTCCTTATGTGCTGCTTGGAGGTTGCAGTCAATGAATCTAGCATTCTAGTTCAAAGGACTCCTGAAAAATGGATGTCCTGAGCCACACCTTAACCTAATGTATGCGCCTAACACCCACACTCTCAGTTCATGCTCTCATAGAGGCCTCTGATCCGTATTTGGCCTCCCATGTAAATTTGCTTAGAGAGAACGTGTTAAACTCATTCGAGGACTCTAGGTCCTGAGAAACAATAGTAAATTAATAAATCGGCATTCTGGTTTCAAGCTCCAGAATCATGAGTTACTGAGAGTGTGCCTCTGAGAAATGGGTCCATTTTTTGTGTGCCAGTATAAATCAGGCTTCTGTGTCTCCAGGCTCAGGGCTACACTCTGGATGGTGGTAAATTCACCAAGAGGCCTCTTAGGAGTCGTCAGCCTGGAAGAAACCTAAGCAAGTTCTCAGTGTGACTGAGGGAACGTGATTTTTTTTTTAATTTCTACACAAACTGAAAAACTGGCAATCTGACTCATTAGAGAGAAAAAAAAATCCAACATGGAATACCACACAGTAAGGAAAAAAAGAAGACATCTTTTTAAAATATTCTAACAAGTTTAGACTTGGAATGTCTAACACCCTTAAAGCTGTATACACAGATTACACTCTCTTCTGAAAATTCGCTTCAAAATCCAGTGTGTGAAATAAAATTCTTGACAAGTCACACAATAATAGACATACCAAAAAAAAAAAAACCCAAACCCACTGCTGTTAAGTCAATTCTGACTTTCAGAGACCCTATAGGACAGAGTAGAACTGCCCCATAGGGTTTCTAAGGGGCAGCTGGTAGATTTGAACTGCCAACTTTTGGTTAACAGCTTCTCTCTTTACCACTGCACCACCAGGGCTCCAGAGTAGACATAAGTCATTAATAAATGCAATGTCGTTTTCCTAACAAGACGAAACACTACCTTTAGACCTGTTTTAAAAGGTTTCTCCTTGGTTCCATCACCTGTAGCATCATTTCCCTCTCGATCTGAGACATACAGCTCTCCTGTTTGAAAAATGAGATTAAGTTATCTATTTGGCCAATAACTATCAATTAACACATACTACAACTACTTTATCCATTCTTTATCTTTATAAACAGAAAAAGTATCTGATTAATAAAAACTACCACAGGCCAAAGGAAATTATATCAGTTATTTTCCCACTTCCCTATTTCAATGATATCCATCTCATAAAAGCATGCTAGTTACAAATTTAGCTTTTCAAAATGAACTTTAATAATTTTCATTTGTGAGACTGCTTCTGACTACTTAAGTCCCCAAAAATCAAGCAAAGACTTTGGAGTTAGACAGACCTAGGCTGAAATCTTGGATGTTGTGCCCAGGTGACCCTGAAGAATTTACTTAACCTTTCTAAGCTTATTTCTTCATCTACAAAACCAGGAAAACAACACCCATCATGAAGGGCTGTTCTGAGGATGAAATAAAATAACCCATTTCAATCAGCTATCTCATTAGGAGTACATATATGTCAAATAAATACCAGTTCCCTCTGGTTTTTAAAGGAAAGCAAGTTATGAGGTTAAACAAAATACAGAAGGCCTCACAAATTAGTACATCTGAACAGCGACATCGATCCAGGTCTCCTAAATCTTTTTCCTTTTTCTACTACACCATGGGGTCTCCCTGGAAATCTCAATAAAGATGAGGATGTGTGAAAGGGAACCGACAGAATTCTCAAGTCCTCTCCTTACGATCACTTTTAAGAATGACATATGTTGGGGCAAACTCATATCTGAAACACTCCCAGCGCCCGAGTTTCGGTCGAATTACCGGATTCTTCGCAGTGGGGGAGGGCCCGGAGTGGCCACCATTCCAGCCCCGGGTCCCCAGAGCTCGAGGGGAGCCCTGGCCGGGTCCATCGAGTCCCGGGCCCAGCAAGGGTGCAGGCCACTTCCTCCATTCGCTCTTTCAGCAAATATTTATGGAGAGCCGATTCTGCCAGGCACTAAGGTAAGCGTTGGTATCGGCCCGAACAAGACGCACAAGGTTCCTAACAGGCAAGGAGTACCGCGAAACTTACAAACTCTGGCATCCCGGAAACTCACTCACCGAGTACCATTCCTGCGGTTGCCTTGGCCACTTTCAAGGACATCGACTCCAAAAATCGCCGCAGCCTTGTCACCCCACCGTGCACCCGCGTCGTGCTCGATTCGGTCGTTGCATCATACAACTTCGTTGCATCGGTCGCGCCAATGAATCACCAGAGCGTTGGGGCTCCATTGGTTCCGGGAAGTGGGCAAAAGTCGCTGGAGCCGCCATTTTTCGTCAGGGCAGCAGCGACTTCCGAGTCCAAAGACTACCCAGCGTCATGCCCCGCTCGCTCTCCGGGCTCCAGGGATCGCCTGCGTTCCCCGGTGTGTGGGTGCCACCTTGCCAGGGACTCGCCGGAGTCTCGGGTAGAGGTTCAGTCCCGCTCCTTTCCGTCTTCACTTACCAAACTTTCCCTTCTGGATCTTCCAGTTCCGCCCCCAGCTATAGGCGTTCACAGGTTTACTTAGGAGCTAGACCAAGGATTACGTTCCAGATCCCAGATGCTGAAATGTTTGTTGAATTAATATTATCAAATATATTGCGCGCCAGCGACGTGGGGGTGGCAAAGAGAGACAGGAATAGTCCCACCTCATACGCATTGCCTCCTTTAAAATATGAAGATGCTTTAACTTTTATGATTTCAATGAATGTACTTACTTCTTTATTTAGGTGACTTGGAGTATGGTATGTTTTCTTTTAAATTTATAAAGACTACTATTAAGATGTTTAACTGTGTTTTATTGACTATGCAAAGGCATTCAACTGTGTGGCTCATAATAAATTATGGATAACATTGTGAAGAATAGGAATTCCAGAGCACTTAATTGTATTCATGAGGAACCTGTGCATAGACCAAGAGGCAGTAGGTAGAACAGAACAAGGGAATACTGCATGGTTTAAAGGTGTGTGTCAGGGTTGTATCCTTTCACTACACCTATTCAATCTGTATGCTGAGCAAATAATCCCAGAATCTGGACTATATGAAAAAGAACAGGGCATCAGGATTGGGGGAAGTCTCATTAACAAGCTGCGTTATGCAAATGACACAACCTTGCTTGCTGAAAGTGAGGAGGACTTGACGCACTTACTGATGAAGATCAACGATTACAACCTTCCATATGGATTACACCTCAACATAAAGAAAACAAAAATCCTCACAACTGGACCAATAAGCAACATCATGAGAAAACACTTAAGTTATCAAGGATTTCATTTTACTTGGATCCACAATCAACACCCACGGAAACAGCAGCTGAGAAATCAAACGACTCGTTGCATTGGCAAATTTGCTGAAAAAGACCCCTTTAAAGTGTTAAAAAGCAAAGATGTCACCTTGAAGACTAAGATTAGCCTGACCCAACTCATGATGTTTTCAGTCGCCTCATATGCCTGCAAAAGCTGGACGACGAATAAGGAAGAGCGAGAAAGAATTGACGCCTTTGAATTATGGTATTAGCGAAGAATATTGAATATACCATGGACTGCCAAAAGAGCTAACAAATCTGTCTTGGTAGAAGTACAACCAGAATGCTCCTTAGAAGCAAAGATGGCTAGACTGCGTCTCACATGCTTTGGGCATGTTATCAGGAGGGATCAGTCCCTGGACAAGGGCATCATGCTTGGTAAAGTAGAGGGTCAGCGAAAAAGAGGAAGATCCTCAACAAGATGAATTGACACAGTGGCTGCAACAATGGGCTCAAGCATAGCAAGGATTGTGAGGATGGCGCAGGACCTGGCAGTGTTTCGTTCTGTTGTACATAAGGTTGCTATGAGTCGGAACTGACTCGATGGCACCTAACAACAACAGCTATTAAACCAAAAAAAAAAGTTGCCATCAAGTCAATTCCAACTCATAGTGACCTTACAGAACAGAGTAGAACTGCCCCATAGGGTTTCTAAGGCTGTATCTTTATGGAAACTGGCTGCCACACCTTTCTCCTGCAAACAGATGGTGGGTTCAGACTACTGACCTTTCAGTTAGCAACCAAGTGCTTAATCATTTCACCATCAGAGCTCCATAATGTGTTGTTGTTAGCTGCCATCGAGTCAGTTCCGACTCATGGCAACCCATGTACTACAGAAGGAAACACTGCCTAGTCCTGCACCATGCTCACAACCATTGCTGTTTGAGCCCATTGTTTGCAGCCACTGTGTCAATCCATCCCACTGAGGGTCTTCCTCTTTTTTGCTGACCCTCTCACTTTACCAAGTGTTATGGATTGAATTGCGTCCCCCAAAAATACCTGTCAACTTGGCTGGGCCATGATTCCCAGTATTGTGTGATTGTCTACCATTTTGTCATCTGATGTGATTTTCCTATGTGTTGTAAATCCTATCTCTATGATGTTAATGAGGTGGGATTAAGGGCGGTTGTGTTAATGAGGCAGGACTCAATCTACAAGATTAGGTTGTGTCTTAAACCAATCTCTTTTGATAGATAAAAGAGAGAAGCTAGCAAAGAGACAAAGGAGACCGCATACAGCCAAAAAAGCAGCACTGGAGCGGAACGTGTCCTTTGGACCTGGGGTCCCTGCACCTGAGAAGCTTCCAGACCAGGAGAAGATTGACAACAAGGACCTTGCCCCAGAGCCATCAGACAGAGGAAGCCTTCCCCCGGAGCTGGCACCCTGAATTTGGACTTCTAGCCCCCTAGACTAAGAGAGAATAAATTTCTGTTTGTTAAAGCCACCCACTTGTGATATTTCTGTTATAGCAGCAGTAGATAACTGAGACTCCAACCATGATGTCTTTCTCCAGCGACTGGTCCCTCCTGATAACATGACCAAAGTACGTGAGATAAAGTCTCGCCCTCCTCGCCTCCAAGGTGCACTCTGGCAGTACTTCTTCCAAGACAGATTTGTTTGTTCTTCTGCCAGACCATGGTATATATATTCAATATTCTTTGCCAACACTGTAATTCAAAGACATTAATTCTCCTTTGGACTTCCTTATTCATTGTCCAGCTTTTGCATGCATGTGGGCATTGATTGTAGAGCCAAGTAAAATGTAATCCTTGACAACTTCAATCTTTTCTCCATTTATCATGATATTGCCTATTGTGAGGATTTTTATTTTCTTTATGTTGAGGTTTAATCCATACTGAAGGCTGTGGTCTTTGATCTTCCTCAGTAAGTGCTTCAGGTCCTCCTCACTTTCAGCAAGCAAGGTTGTCATCTGCATACTGCACGTTGTTTATGAGTCTTCCACCGGTCCTAATGCCCCTTTCTTCATATAGTCCAGCTTCTCAGATTATCAGTGACATAGCTTCCAGCATCACAACCACACACAAGCCACCCCAGTACGACAAACATAGGTGAGCGGTGGGACACAGCGTTAGGAAAGACCAATCGCTAGAAGAGAACATCATATTTGGTAAAGTAGAGGGTCTGCAAAAATGAGAGAAACCCTCAGAATTCTAAAGTCCCACTCTCCCATAGGGATTGGCACAATAGCAACAACAGTGGACTCAAACATACCGACGACAGGGTAGAACTGCCCCATAGGGTTTCCAAAGCTGTAAATCTTCACAGAACAGACTGCCACATCTTTCTCCTGAGGAGCGGCTGGTGGGTTCGAACCGCCAACCTTTAGGTTAGCAGCAGAGTGCTTTAACCACTGCACCACCAGGGCTCCGTTCCCCATACACCCCAAACCTCTTGCCATCGAGTCCATTCTGACTCATAGGGACCCTATAGGACAGTAGAGCTGCCCCACAGGGTTTCCAAGGCTGTAAATCTTTACAGAAGCAGACTGTCACATATTTCTTCCTCAGAGCAGATGGTGGGTTTGAACGGCTGACCTTTAGGTTAGCAGCCAAGAGCTTTAACCACTGTACCACCAGGGCTCCTCCTCCCTATACTCGCTGCCTGATAAAATAGCTGATACCTTCAGACGTTTTAAAGAGCTTTCTCATGCAGCTGCTTACAGTACTTGCTTCTCAAAACTATCTTCAGAAAGAATTGAGGCAGAAATCACTGCAGACTCCTCAAGGGCTCCTTTCCCCATCCTGGAGCCGGGAACCCAGGAGGGGCCCAGGCAGTGTTCACTTAATTAATAAATCCATTAAGTAATTTTAAAAAAACTACAGTAATATTTAAAATTGATTTGTAACTGCAAACAAAAAGTGTGAATTATCATTACGATGAGCCTTTTAATTTAAGGAACTGAAAACTTAACTTTGCTTTTCCTTGTAGAGTTAAATTTAAGCACTTAGATTTGTTGATGAATTTGTTCCTGGGAGAGCCTTTACCTCAATGATTCCCAGGCTCCTCATGTTTGTGAACTGCTTGCTTTTAAGCACCTTAGCTATATCGCTCCCTAAAAAATAAAATAAATATTTTTACAAGTCCTGCCAGATGCACACCTGTAAGGAGGATGAATAACTTGTGCAGCTAGGGCTCTGAAGGTTGCTGTTGCTAGGTGCCATGGAGACGGTTCTGACTCATAGCAATCCTATGTACAACAGAAGGAAAAACTGCCCGGTCCTGCGCCATCCTCACAATCTTTGCTACATTTAAGCCCATTGTTGCAGCCACTGTGTCAATCCATTTTGTCGAGGGTCTTCCTCTTTTTTGCTGACCCTCTACTTTACCAAGCATGATGTCCTTTTCCGGAAACTGATCCCTCCTGATAACATGTCCAAAGTATGTGAGATGAAGTCTCACCATCCTTACTTCTAAGGAGCATTCTGGTTGTACTTCTTCCAAGACAGATTTGTTCGTTCTTTTGGTAGTCTGTGGTATATTCAATATTCTTCGCAACACCGTAATTCAAAGGCGTCAATTCTTCCTCACTCTTCCTTATTCGCCGTCCAGCTTTCACATGCATATGAGGCTATTGAAAACACTATGGCTTGGGTCAGGCTAATCTTAGTCTTCAAGGTGACATCTTTGCTTTTTAACACTTTAAAGGGGTCTTTTTCAGCAGATTTGCCCAATGCAATGCATCATTTGATTTCTTGATTGCTGCTTCCATGGACAGTGATTGTAGATCCAAGTAAAATGAAATCCTTGACAACTTCAATCTTTTCTCATGATGTTTCTTATTGGTCCAGTTGTGAACATTTTTGTTTTCTTTATGTTGAGGTGTAATCCATATGGAAGGCTGTAATCGTTGATCTTCATCAGTAAGTG